AGGTGTATGTGGCTGGTGCCTTAACTGCTTGAGCCACAGGTGCTGAGCCAGGGGTTGTTTGTTTTCTTCTTGCTTGTTTGCTTGAGTTCTTTGTAAATTCTGGATATTAGCTCTTTATTGGATGTATAGGTTGAGAATATTTTCTCCCGTTCTATAGGTTTTCTATTTGCTCTGTTGATTGTTTCCTTAGTATGCAGAAACTTTTTAGTTTAATAAAATCTCATTTATTAATTTTCATTTTTACCATAATTACCATTGGGTAAATAAATTCTTTGCCTAGGCTGATAACTAGAAGAGGATTTCCCTACATTTTCTTCTAGAGTTCTTATAGTTACATTTAGGTCTTTATACATTTTTTTTTTGAGGCAGTCTGACTTAGTGGCCCTGGGTAGAGGACTGTGGCATCATAGTTTATAGCAACCTCAAACTCTTGGGTTTAATCAATCCTCTTGTCTCAGCTTCCTGAGTAGCTGGGACTACAGGTATCTGCCACAATACCTGGCTAGTTTTTCTAATTTTTTTTCTATTTTTAGTAGAGATGGAGTCTTGCCCTTGCTCAGGCTGGTCTCAAACTCTTGAGCTCAAGCAATCCACCTGCCTCAGCCTCCCAGAATACTAGGATTACAGTTGTGAGCCACAGTGTGCCGCCTTTTTTATACATCTTGTATTAATTTTTATGAGTGGTAAGAAGTAGAGGTCCTATTTCATTTTTTGGCATGTGGCTATCCAATTTTCCCAGCACCATTCATTGAACAGGGCTTCTTTTCCCCAGTGTACATTGTTTTCTGTTTTGCCAAAGATCAGTTGGTTGTAGGTAGATGGTTTTATATCTGTGTTCTCTGTTCTGTTCCATTAGTCTGTGTATCTGTTTTTGTAACAATACCATGCTGTTTTGGTTATTGTCACTCTGTAGTATAGTTTGAATTCTAGTGATATAATGCCTCCAAGATTTATTCCTTTGCTTCAGGATTGCTTTGGCTATTCAACCTCATTTCTAGTTCCAAATGAAGCAAAGAATTATTTTTTATAGATCTATAAAGTATGAATTTGGTAATTTGACAGATATTACATTGAATTTGTAAATAACTTTGGGTAGTATGGACATTTTAACAATGTTGGTTCTATCTATGAGCATGATGTGTTTTTCCAATTGTTTATATCCTGTGTGATTTCTTTTCTCAGAATTTTGTAGTCCTCCTTGTAGACATCTTTTACCTCTTTGGTTAAGTATATCCATTGGTATTTTATTTTCTTTGTAGCTATTGTGAATGCTATTGAATTTTTAATTTGACTCTCAGTTTGATTCATTATTGATATATAGAAATGCTACTGGCTCGGCGCCTGTGGCTCAAGTGGCTAAGGCGCCAGCCACATACACCCAAGGTGGCGGGTTCGAATCCAGCCCAGCCCGCCAAACAACAATGATGGCTGCAACCAAAAAATAGCCAGATGTTGTGGCGGGCACCTGTGGTCCCAGCTACTTGGGAGGCAGAGGCAGAAGACTCGCTTGAGCCCAGGATTTGGAGGTTGCTGTGAGCTGAGATGCCACAGCACTCTACCCAGGTGGACAGCTTGAGGCTCCTGTCTCAAAAAAAAATAAAAAAGAAATGCTACTGATTTTTATACATTAATTTTGTATCCTGAGACTTTGCTGAATTTATATGGCAATTCCAGGACACCCTTGGTGGAATTTGTGGGGGTTTTCTAAATATAAAACAATATCATCAGGCTGAGTGTGGTGGCTCACACCCGTAATCCTAGCACTCTGGGAGGCCCAGGCAGGTGGTTTGCTTGAGCTCACTAGTTTAAGACCAGCCTGAACAAGAGGGAGACCCTGTCTCTAAGAAATAGGTGGGTGTTATAGCAGGTGCCTGTAGTCCCAGCTTCTCAGAGGCTGAGGCAAAAGGATCACTTAAGCCCAAGAGTTAGCAGTTATGGCACTTGTGGCTCAAGGCATAGGGCACTGGCCCCATATACCAGAGGTGGTAGGTTCAAACCCAGCCCCAGCCCCCTAAAAAAGAGTTAGCAGTTGCTATGAGCTATGACGCCATAGCAGTCTACCCAGGGCAACAAAGCAAGACTCTGTCTCCAAAAAACAAACAAAAAAAAAAATCATCAATGAAGATGATAGTTTAACCTCCTCTTTCTTGACTTGGATATACTTTATATATA